AAAATCTTTAAAAAATAAATTAATTAATTAAATAAAATGCCCTTTTCCTGGTAAGTGATCACACAGACTGGTGTGGAAATTACAGAGCTAGGTCTAAAAGGCAGGGAAAATAATTATGTTTCCAAACTGCTGACTTCCTATCTTCTCAGTAAGAGAAACAAACTTATAAATAGGAGAACTCCACAAAGATTTCATGAAGAACATATGTATTACTGCCTGCTAGCAGGGACAAAATCTGGACTTGGGCAAAGTAACATGTGAATCCTGGAGCAGGCAAAATCAGTACAGATGTGAGGCAGTGGCTGCTGACACTGCTGATGTGGAGAGGCCTCTTTCTGCTCTAAACTCAGAGAAAAACTTGATAAAACATTCTTCACAAAATGTAAAAATCAAAGTTCATGTGAAAGAGGGAAAGAGAGAGAGAGGAAGGGAGGAAAGGAGAGAGGAAGGAAGGAAGGAAGGTAGGTAGGTGGGCGGGCAAAACGGTGGGAAATCCCCATAGGTCAGAAATGAATAGGAAAGCAGCAAGAGGAAGCACTGTTGTGTGGAGTATGGACCAGAGATAGGCTTCAGGGCTTGGGAGCTGGGGCTTAAGATCACTCAGGAAGCCAGGATCACATGGGACACAGATCTATAGGATAAAGATTAGGTATCCCATGGCACATGGCTCTCATAGAGGCACAGAATCCCTGATGTCTAGTACTCTACTGTATAATTACACCAGAATTTATTTGCCCATTCTCCAATGGAGAGACATTTGGGTGATCTCTGGTCTTTATGAATACAGACACAGCTACTATGAAGAGTCTTATAAAAGTCTCCTGGTACACAAAAACAAACATTTCTTTAGGGCATATGCCTAGGAGTGATGCTGCTGAAACAGCAGGTATTATAAGTTGTTTATAAAATATATTTGCAAATGTTTTAATTTTTACTAACTGGTGTGTATAAAATGGAATTTCATTGTGCTTTTTAAATTGCAATTTTTGATTATTAATGGGATTGATCCTCAGTTATATGTTTACTAGCTACTTACGTTTCTTCTTCTGTGACAGACCAGTTTATCTTTTGTCCATTTTTCTATTGTGCTTTGAGAAATTATTTATAAGTTCTAGGCATTAATTCTTTGTCAAGTACATATGCTATGAATATCTCTCTCATATTTCACTCTGTTCATGGCAAAATTTTTTACTGTCATCAAATGTAACTATATTTCCTTTGTAGTTTAGAATTTTTGCCACAATTTTATATCATTTCCTACTCCAAAGTCATAATATATTCTCCAATATTGTTCCCTAAAGTTTTATGATTTGAATTTCACCCTAATTTTTTGTGGTATTTCAAGAAGGAATCCCATCACGTATATTTAATATTTAAACGAACACAGTACCATTTATTAAAAAGCTCATCCCTTCCCCTACTGATTTGCAATTCCAATTTTGTCTGAAATCAAGTTTTCCATGTATGTGAAGTCTATTTCTGGATTTTTCTATATAGATTCACTGGTCTATTTCTCTAACCATATAGTAATACCTCACTGAATTACTTTTATAGTTTTAAAATGAATCTTGATATCAGTTAGACCAATCCCCTCTACCATATTTTTCTTCTTTGGGTAGTTTTGACTATCATTACCCTTTTGCTATTCTGCATAAGCAAAATACCACCATCTCTCTCTCTCTCTCTCTCACATACACACACACACACAGTAACAAACCTCTTTTTACACTACTTTTAAAAGTTTAGTAAAGAAAGATAAAGGAAAAAGTATTAACAGAAAGGAAATATATTATCATCAAATTATACTAAGCAAAATGAAACTTTAGGGATAAAATAGGGTCTTACTTAATGATGAAAAAAATTCATCAGGAAGATGCAAAAATACCAATCTGGTATAAATGCAACCATACAGTCTCAAAATGTTATTAAAAAAAAAAAAAGAGTAAGTAGACTTGAGAAGGGAAACTGATCTATCACCATGGGATATTTTAGCACATTTCTCTATAAAACTGTCACATCAAGCAGGCAAAATAAATAAATAAAATAAGACAAGTTTGAACAACAAAATAAACAATATTGATCCTGCAGATATATCCTACAAATAGAGTAAACACGTTCCTTTCAAGCACATGCATAATTCACAAGAATTGACAAAGTTCTGCACCATAAAAGAAGTTTCCACCAAGGAATCAATACCAAACACTGAATTCTCTAAGTACAGGAAAATAGCATTCGAAATCCATAGCAAAATGGCAACTTTTCACAGTCCCTGTGTCCAGCCCTCACAGGGTTTTTCATATATTGCCAACCTCTTAGAAAGGGACATAGCGAAGGGCCTCTTCCTTGTGAGTAAAGAAAAAGGACTTTAAAAAGTAGCCTGGGGAGTCAAGCAGAGTCGAGTGGGGATTCTCGCTCATTATTTAATAGCCTTGTGACCTTAAGGAAGTGACACAACCTTTGTGTGTCACAGTTTCCTCGAAGTCAGAATGGAAAGTGTCTTTTTCCCAAGGCTATGTGAGAATTAAATGAGATGATACATAGCACTTGGCATTAAGCAAGACCACATAGCTATAGCTAATGTTTGGGTTTTTTTAGGTTTTCTTTACATTTGTTTCATTGTTGGTATTCTTATTATACTAATATCTGCTCTTCAACATAACAAACTGAATTCCTCTTGGGTTTTCCACCCAGTCATAAGGCACCCTTTTTCAAATCTGCACCATGGGTTTCAGGTTCAAACAGAGCATCACAGCAGAGGAGGCCAAGCAAAGCAACTAGCTTCTAGTTTCTCATGCTTGGTTTCTCCAGGTGTTCACTGCTCCCAAGGAAGCTCCTTTTCCAGTTCCCTAGTTAAAACATCCAAAGGGGTCATTTTGATTTGACTATCTTTTACCAAACATGTAGACTTCTTTCCCTTCTCCTTTCCTCTTTGAAATCCTTTAAACTCCGTGGATGAGTGCGGAGCTGGGGATACCTGAAAGGCTGATGAACTAGCAACAAAGTGACTTGGATTAGAAATCCTGCTCTGTCAGACTCTTAGCTCTAGGAAACAAACTGAGGGCTGCTGAAGCCAACCTATGGAGGGTCATGAATGCCAAGGTTAAACACTGGAATTGCCTGTAGTTCAGTCTCCCCACAGGGCCATGGACTCATGGTGGAGAAAGACTGTGCACAATTTGTCATTTTGCTCAAATACTTGGAATCAAGGCTTGCAGGGAATATCTGTCCAAGAGAAAGAAAGAATGACTATACAAATAGAGGCAAGAAGAATGGATGTTTAATAAGGTTCATAAGAAAAAGTTTAATGAGAAGGGTTCAAACAATACATGAGACAAACTCAAAGAGTGGGATGTGACCAAAATGCACTTTACTTTTTTCTCCCACTGTCCCTCTAACTTTTTTTTCCTCACTGAAGTATAATTGACATGTCATTAGCCAAAAATATTTAATTGAACTATGTGACAATTTTGACACAGATACATCCCCCTTTAACCAACTGCAAAACCAACATCATGAACATCTCCATCACTCCCAGAAGTTTCCTCCTCGTGCCTCTTTAATGGGCTCTGAAACAGAGGTCTGCATGCAAGCCTGGCCAGAGCGCTGTCAGCAATAGTGCCCATGTAGGAGTGAGGGCAGCAGGACTGAAAGCAAGAAGGGCTGGGGTTGAAATGTAATGAAGACAGAACAGAGGCCCAGCCTGGCTGAGCCCATGTGGAGACAAGGCACCCCACATTGAGATAAGGGAGCCTATCCTGTGTACCTCATTTCTACCAGTCACTAGATGTGTACTTCCCCATAGGGGGAAGCCTAACCTTGGCAGCTCCCTTTGGCCCAAGGCAACTCCTGGGGAGGGACTCAGCTGCCAGCTTAGGGGGTAACATTCCCAGCAGTGGCAGGAATCAGGAACCCATATCCTGGAGGGGAATCTGTGGGGGGTACCACAACATACACCTTCAATGGGGCAGGTAGGGGATATAAAGGTAGATGGCCTGGTCCCTGCCCTCAGTGGTCTCTACTTTATATGAAATCAATGAGGAAATAAGTGGTTTCTACTTTATATGAAAGAATCCACTTTAATGAACCCACAGCTTCTACATGCATTGTGCCACGCACGGCTCTGAGGGACTTTTATTACTGCATTACCACAAACACCACTCTGATCCGGGATGGTAGAGCAGGTACCTGAAGCACAGAGAGGCCAAGTAATCCCCCAGCGTGAATCACATGATTAGTAAGCTCAGAGCTAACAATCAAAACTCCAGGGTGTCTGGTCGATTCTACATTTCGAACTCCTACAAATCTGCTGCCTCTCTGAACTAATAATTTTACTCAGATTTTTTTATTATATTTTATACTGCATATCTTATCTTGTAAAAGGTACTACTATTGCCTATTATCCTCAAAACATGAAAAGTAGCAGTTTTGCACACACTGACTACAGAAATCATTCAAAGCCTGGATTAGAAATTACCAAAGTAACATCGGCAAAGTTATGTGATATTCTGTCACCACATTAGGAAAGGCTATCATTAGAACTTGTAATCGCTGATGGAGTGAAAACACCACCCTAGAATTAGTCTGATTCAAAGGAATTAGAAATAGGAAATACACACACACACACACACACACACACACACACACACACACACGCTCTCTACAGGGGAGGAGAACTTGAAGGCCCACTCACAGAGCCTCCATTCTCATTCCCCAGGAAATGGTTATTTTTTTACTGGAATTTTCCTAGTAACTAAGAGATATCAAGCTTGAGCTAAGCAGCTCTCTGATGAAACTCAGTACGGATTGTATCTGACAAGGCTCAGTCACAAAAACTAAATCACGAAGACAATTCAGATGCAGTAAAAGATGAATCATATGCATTTGACTTTATACAACCAGCGGAGCAGGTTAAGGTGTCTCTGTGAAACTATTCCACCTGCTTCTGGTACTGGAGCCTGAATTTGCAGACAAGGGCATCAGGAAGAGCAGACAGATGGGCAATGGCGGAAGCAAGGAGAAACTGGAAACTATCAGAATGCATAGAAAGAACTAGTACCCACTGCAGAATCTTGCTGCCTCCAAGCTCCTGCTGTGTTGATGGCGGTATCCTGCAGGGGAAGCTGGCACCCTTCATCACAGAGCTAAGCACAGTTCTTATCCAAGAATCAGAGAAACTTGGGAGACAGAAAAGCAGCAGAAAGCTGGAGGTGAGCCAGCAGATCATCTAACACATGTGACAACCTGTAGGGGGCTGCAGCAACACCTCCTGCCCTATGCTGACCTCCTAGGCATACAGAATATGGCTGCTGCTTCAATTCTACCTGCCATATCCCCTGCAAAATGCCTTGTATGGTCCAAATGACTTCGAAGTACTCATAGAAAGGAATTCTGGGAAATGTAGTTTTACCTAAGTTGACACAACATAAATTTACCGCACCCATTTGTGAGGGCAGATCTAACACAAAAAGAAAGTACTCACATGCTCTACCTGAGAAAATGTTGCTTTAAATCTTCTCAAAGCAGTTCTTGATGTTAAATATGGCAAAACTTTGTGTTTGTTTTTCTCCCCACAGAAAAAGTGATTAGTTACTAAATACTCAACACTGGATTTACAGCCATTACCTTAATTAAGGCTTATGGTTAGCACTATATTAATTACCCCTACTTTGCAAACAAAAGCATTGAAGCTTAGAGAAGTTAACAGGCTTTTTCAAAGCTACACAGCAAATTGCAAATCTGGGACCACATTGCTCTGATTCCATAATTCCTGCCCATCAGCAATTCACTCTGCTACTCTTGTGGCATTAGAGAAATCTTTCCAATCATCACCTCTTAAGAAATTCTGAAAAGAGCCAGACTCTTTAGTGCAGTGGTACAGTCCTACTTACTTTTTCCTGGGTGCACAGTGAGAGAGACCCACAGAGAATTAGAACTAGAAGGGATCGAATAGATGGTTTCTCCCTAGAAACAAAGAAGAAGGGGGAAAGAAGGGCTAAAAATTCTGGAAGAAAGTGAGAGAGGGGAATCATGGGTCTTTAAAGGGAACACTCAGCAGAACTAAGGTGAGGAGAAGAAAAGTATATGAGCAGAGGAGGGAAAGTACTCCTATTTTCCAAGGAAAAGAAGGATTTGTCTATAGTCATGAGCAGTTTAAGATCAAGACAGGACTGAGGGCTGTGGTGGAACACCTAAGTTGCTTATCTCTCAGTAAGAACTTGGTAAACCTACAACATCATGAACAAAATGGCCCTATCATTACCCTAACTTGACTAAATGTTAGACGTGCTTGCCTCTTCTGAGAGCATTTATTTTAGAAAACTTGTCACTATAAATCCTTTCTCTCTGCTTCTGTGAGATGTAAATCTGTTAAAAAGCTTCTTACTAGTTTTATAATTCTGTAATGTCTTTCTCAAGGAAAAAGACATCCCTTTGAAATGTAATTATCAAGGTAGATAGCATCCCTATCTCCTAGTTTCTGTGGGAAGAGAGGAGACTAACATCCCACAGACACCCTCCTCCATGCTGTAAAACTATCTCCTGTCACAAGGATACAGAAAGTTTACTTTTCCTTTAGAGAAGAGCAATTAGCAAATACACACATCCTATGATCCTCCTCACCCACCATCCTGGCTGCTAAAAATGTTCCAGCCTCATGTGTCACTAGAGTAGAACTCGGATCAGGTTCCAGCCTCTCCTCTTACTGTAGTAGCCTTGAATAAAGACTTTGCTACCTGTTCAACTTCAGAACTTCATTTAGTGCAATTTTTGTTTGACTGTCATAAGCCTAATACGGAACAGGCAGAATTTAACTCTGGTCTACCTACGGAGAAAACATTTACTATGCAAAGGAAAATAAAATCACCAACCAAAAAAAAAAAAAAGAGGAATTCAAGCACCTGGGTAGCCAAACTGTAAGAAATAGAGGTTTAGAACACAGGCTGTAGAATTGTTGACTGCCCTCCATCCACCTCTTATTGCTCTTACAACTCTTGCAACACCAGCAACATTATTTAACCTTATTTTTTTCCCTGGCCCAGCAAAACAGTGATGATAATAATAGTGCTGACTGTATTAAGAATTAAATCAATGCGCCTGATGCTTTATGATTCCTAGGGTCTAACTAGGAATCAAGAAAATTGTCCTAATTATCTATCCAGAGGGAGTGTTTTTTTTTTCCTCCCAATTTGCTATTTTGAGATATTCCAAACCCAGAGAAATGCTAAAGAATAGAAAAATAACCCCATTCCCTTTACCTAAATTCACCAGTTGTTCTCACTTTGCACCTCTCTCTCCCTGTCTCTCTCTGTCCGTCTCTCTGCCATTTGAAAATAAGTTGCAGACATCATCCCTAAATACTTCATCACTAAAAATACTTCAGCATCCATTTCCAGAAAATGACATTCTCTTACATAAGTGAGAGGCATTAACCACACCCGAAAGGACTCAATAAAATGAGGTTATTCAGTTCATATTTACATTTCTTCAAATGTTCCCCAAATGTCTTTTTTTGTTTTTGTTTTTTACTTCCTGATCCAAGATCCTTTCAAGGCTCACAAGCTTCTCTGTTCTGTTTTTGCCTCTTTAGGCAAAGTTGCACTAACATAACATAATCAAAATAAGTAAGTAAAATCTTTCTAGTTCCATTCCTATATTCTTAATTTCCTCAGTTCTGCTTCATGCCACACACATACATAATAAATTGCTCACTGATCCAGATTATTTTCAAAAGAGATGATTGAACTATAAGAAGACTGTGTTACAGTCTATCTTTAAATCCATGTATACCTTTTAAAATTTACTTAGAGGAATTTGGCTACTGGAGTATTAATAAGTTACATGTTATTTTCTAGGAATTCATTGTAATGAAAAGATAAAGAATTATTCTTAATTTTTGTAGAGGACTGTGTTGCCCGTTTGTCCTCAGAGGAACTCTTTTTTTTTTTTTTTTCCAAGATTTCATTTATTTACATATTTGAGAGAGAAAGAAAGAGAGAGCACATGGGAGGAACAGAGGGAGAGGGAGAAGCAGACTGCACTGAGCACAGGGCTTGATCTCAAAACCCTGAGATCATGACCGGAGCCAAAATCAAGAGTTGGATGCTCAACCACCTGAGCCACCTTGGAGCACCTATTCCCAGAGCAATTGTTGCTCCCTTTTATCTCTGTTCTATTTTGCAAGAGAGTTATGCTCTATAGGGTGCCTGTCCCAGGCTCCCTAGTAATTGACTTTCATCTCGATTTGGCCAATAGGAATCATTGGTGGGAGACTGGAGGTCAGGAAGAAAGGAAGCATTTTTCTACCTCTTTCTATACTTAGGCAGCAAGTGCAGCTCCTGGAGGGCTTCAGATCTTATTGGACAGACAGCCATGATTGCTGCATTTGCTGGTGGCCCTAAACACTGGGCTTCAGGAACATTCCCTTCTCTCTTGGATATTTTAGCCCAGGGCTGATGGTGGTTTCCTGCGGATGTCTGTCTCTGAGCTTGTTTGTCTTCTCAGTCATCCACTATTCACAAAATGAATTCTGTGCCTCACATTCCTTCTGTTTTGGAAAATAAGGAACTTTAAAATAAATGGTTTGGGGACAACTGTATAGCCATTTGAGAAAAAAATTAGTTTCATATCTCATAAAAATTGCCAGATCAAATTCCAAATGGATCAGAGATCTAAATGTAAAAAATGAACATGGCTGATTTATCTCCTGACCTGAGCATGAAGAAAGTTAGAAACTATAATCCAAAATCCAGAAACAATGAAAGAAAAAATCTATAATATCAATCATATAAAAATATTTTTTATATGGCAGAACACCATATGCAAAGTCAAAAGACCAGTAAAAAAATCAGGAGACTTATATGATGGTCAAAAGGCTAACATCTATAATAAATAAAGAATTTTTAAAAATAAAGAAAAAATTGCAAAATATTATATATAATGAAAAAACTCTCAAACAGTTCACTAAAAAATATAAAAATGGCCTTTAAATACAAGAAAACATATTCAACTTTATTCGTAATAAAATGTCAATGAGAGATACTGTTACGCTGAAAAGAAGTTTAAAAAAAATGTCACTGAGAACTTTATTGAGAGACCATTTCTCATCTATCAGATTGGTAGAAAGTCCAAAATCTAAATAACATTTTTGTCAAGGCTGTGAAAATTCAGTTATTTTTTATAAGTTTCTGCTAGAAATGCAAAATGACAACAATCCCTCTGGAGGGAATTTGATGATATTTAACAAAATTATATATGCATTTACTTTTTGAACTGGAAACTCCACTTCTAGAAATCTGCCCCAAGACACACCTCCACAAATACCAAAGAGCATAGGTACAAGGTTTTCATTCAGGAATAAGTTATAATAACAAAACTCTGCAGTCATTCTAAACAATGGCTCAAAGGAGAGCGATGGACTTAAGTAGACGGCTCCATAGGATGGTCTACAATGTAGCTAAAAAGGGAAAATAAAGAGGCTCTCCATGAGTCCAGGATACAATGGTGTGCACATCTGCCGATTATGTGAGAAAGAAGGGGAAATTGCTTTTCTTTGCAAAATGGAACAGGATATATCAATCAGAAATTAATGAAAATATTTACTACCAGGTATGTAGGGATACTGTGGAAGATATACGGAGGAAAGTGAGATTTCTTTTAGTGGACCATTTTTACGTACTTTGCATTTTGAACCATGTAAATATCTTAAATGTTAAAAAATAAAAACACAAAAGTACAAACATTAAATTTAAACGCAAACAGAAAAAATAACCCAGCTGCATGCCAAATTGATAATAATCACACAGAGAAAAAAAAAATTCAAGTAACTTTTGAGTACAGGGCTTTGACTATACACCCTAAAGAGAATATATTATAAGGAAAAAAAAAAGTGGCAAAGAACTATTGACATTTGCTTAGCAACTTTGTTCTTGGTGGTGGTATGGGTGATATAATTATGCAACTGTTTTGTACGTATAATAGGATAAAACAAATGAGTAAATATGTTGATGTTTTCGGGAAGTAGGGTTTTTACATTCCTAGGTGAGGACAAAAGATATTAGGGTTGGATTTCAATGAGAGGTATCAATACAAGCTCATTATGTATGCATACATATTGATAGATACCACAAACACACATACACACTTCCTAGCTCTGGTCCCTGAAAGACCTTAAAGCAAATCCACTTCAGTAGCGCTGAGTATACCTGGCGCC